TGGCATCATAGCTTACAGCAACCCTCCAACTCTTGGGTTTGAGCAATCCTCTTGCCTCAGTTTTTCTATTTTAGTAGAGACAGGGTCTTACTTTAGCTCAGGCTGGTCTTGAACTCGTGAGCTCAAACTATCCGCCTGCCTCAGCCTCCCAAAGGGCTGGGATTATAGGCATGAGCCACTGCACCTGGCCTGGTTCATTCAATTTTTAACCTGACTCCAAATTAAGTTAACCTTTCCTCTTTAACTTTATAATCCTATTTAAGAAATTGGGTTGCCCTTACACCTTAGTCATCTAAAGTACACTTAACAAAACTCACGTTCCAGTTTCAGAGTTTCTGATTTGTTTCTTCATCTCTGCCTTGACAAATACCACAACACGGCCTAGAAGCGAGGCCTCACTACCACCATCTGCCTGCTACAGTGACCGTCCACTCCTCTCCTCATACCTCACAAAGCCTGCTGCAGCACGTCACACCACTTGTTAGCTACAAGCTTCCTTCCTGCCTGGATAATCCCCCTTTTTTGTGTTATTGTATTGGGCCTTTGAAGCACCTGTGCTTTACCTGCCTGGCTGGGCTTACACCTGCTGCCCAACCAGGTCCAGGCCACGAGCATTTCCACAAAGCTAATTTCTAAGCGTCCTCATTCGGACCACTCTGCTTGCTCAGAACACCTGCTAAGGATATAATTACATAACTGTTCCAACTGCCCCCAAACAATACCATACACCTGTTATTCATACATATACACATGTAAACACACAAGTCTGAAATGAGACCTTAATGATTAACTACTTATAAATAGAAAACAGGATTTAAGAGTAGTAATGTGGTGTTTGAATATGAAACAGACTTTCTATTTCACTTCAGAAGGTCTTTAAAAACTTTATAATGAAAAAATATTATAATTTTATTTAGGCATTTATATCATTTCTATATTTTCTGCCAGAAAAAAATTTGCCCACACTTTAGGAATATTTATTACTAGTCAGTATGAAAACAAAAACATATCCTGTTCACTTTAACAGAAAAGCCAGCATTGTCTATTACGGTTTACATTACAGATGCCCAATGCTAAGAGTACATATATATGTATGCTTGAAGTATGTATATACTATATGTTATGTGCTGTGTGATAGTGTGGCTATCCTCAAAGCAATGTTATTAGTAATCTGAATTACTCCTAAATCCTTCTCTACATTTTCAGTTTTCTCAAATTTATATTTGTGGAAAAATTCTTCTTCTTTTTTTTTTGAGACAGTCTCATTTTGTCACCCTCAGTAGAGTACCGTGGCATCATAGCTCACAGCAACCTCAAACTCTTGGGCTCAAGTGATTCTCTTGCCTCAGCCTCCCGAGTAGCTGGGATTACCAGCACCCCAACATCCAGCTATTTTTTTTAGAGACAGGGTCTCACTCTTGCTCAGGCTGGCCTTGAACCTATGAGTTCAGGCAATCGATCCTCCTTGGCCTTCCAGAGTGCTAGGATCACAGGTATGAGCCCACTGTGCCCAGCAAAAATTATTCTTTTTTTTTTTTCTTTTTTAATCCATTGCTGCCAGGATCTCTGCCAACTCTTGGGTCAGGCTGCGACCCCAAGCACCCAGGGCGCCCAAAAATTATTCTTGATAAAGAAATAATTTAGAAAATAAACCACAGAACTTTGGTAGGGAAATAAAATGTGTGTGTATTCATGGAGGTGGGGAACACACCAGCTGTGCGGGAAGGTTGACAAGAGCAAATGGTCCCCTCAGCTGCCCCACCCTATGGACACAACACAGATTTAACTTTCATCAAATTGGTGTTGAAAGTAATTTCACATGTTTCAAACACCACACCACCTCTACTACTTAACTAACTGGGTGATAGTGGAAAGTCACTTAATTTCAGTTTACTTCTAAAAATTCATCGTTACCGCTTAGAGGTTGGTTTTAGGATTAATGAGAAGCGTGGACCTTGTTTAGCACAGTGTGACACACCTGCTCTCCCCCTTATTGCTATGGGCGAAATCTTCAATCTCATTTAACAGTTACAGAATATATACAGTTTATTTCATAAATGACTACATTATAGCTTCATTCCATTCTATAGTATCATGTTTCCCCAAAAATAAGACACTGTCTTATATTTATTTTTTCTCAAGAAGACACACTAGGGCTTATTTTAAGGGGATGTCTTATTTTTATTAAGTATAACAATCTACATTTATTCAAATACAGTTAAGTCATCTCCTTCTGGAACCTGACAGGGGGAGCTGACTTGTTGGTGGGCCCAGTGCTAGAGATGCGTGAACTCCTTTCCCCTAGCTGTTCACATGTGCGCAATAGGATGCCTGCGACCTTGGTTACCACCTGTGCACCCCTGCAAGTGCGAGGCTTGGAAAAAGGAGCTGTGGCAGATAAAAGGTATTCCAGTCTTCCTTACTGCTCCATGCTGAAATGCAGGGCATGGCTATGCAGTGTATCTGCATGGTGTCACACCCATCACTAGGTCTTACTATCGGGGTAGGGCTTATATTTAACAAATGCATAGAAATCCTGCTAGGCTTATTTTTTGGGTAGGTCTTATTTTCGGGGAAACATGGTAAGTAGACTTGTTGACTTACTCCCTGGCAAGGCTTTAGAGAATGAATGTTTAAACTCATTCTATGCCTAGAAAAATGACACTGATGGGTGGTGCCTGTGGCTCAGTGAGTAGGATGCCAGCCCCATATACCAAGGGTGGCAGGTTCAAACCCAGCCCTGATCAAACTGCAACAAAAAAATGGCCAGGTGTTGTGGCGGGCGCCTGTAGTCCCAGCTACTTGGGGGGTTGAGGCAAG